TCTTATCATCAAAATCAATTTCAACAGACGACAATTGATTTGTGATAGTGTTGAAATCATTAAGGTGCTGAGCAACAGACACACCTTCCGCCATCTTCAAGTTGAATAACTTTTTCAGCAGATGCACCTTGTTATTCGCCGATGGCTTTTCATACATACCTAATAAAGCCTCCATGAGTTCTGTTCTACAGTAGTCCTCCCCTTGATGACGTTGTGGGCAACCGATCTCGACAGGGTTAATCGTATAACCCCTAAAACCTGTCAATCCAACAGATTCCATTCTGTCTGGTCAATCTTTTCTGGTCGCTTTCCCAGTAACAGAAGATGGAGTTTCTTCTCATAGAGGTAGTCCTCTATCTGCATCCTCCAGTAAACAAAATCTGTGCCATTGAACTTCTCGATCCCCGATATCATTACTTCATCTCCGCCCATCTTTCTTCCTTAGATTCGAACCAAAGCTCTGATACCAATTATTGTGAAAAAATGACGGCAATAAAGCGAAAAATGAAACGAGTAAAATTGCACGCAGAAAAACACCAAAACGGCACATAGATTTACGTGGTTCGACAAATTTGCCTACGTCCACGGAGCTGCAGAGGATTTATTTCTTCGAGGAATTACACCGTCGAGCGCCTTGACATTCACAAAAAGTGCCATTGAACTTCTCGATCCCCGATATCATTACTTTGTCTCCGCTCATCTTTCTTCCTTAGATTTGAACCAAAGCTCTGATACCAATTATTGTGAAAAAATGTCAGCAATAAAGCGAAAAATGAAAGGAGTAAAATTACACGCAGAAAAACATCAGAGCGACACATAGATTTACGTGGTTTGACAAATTTGCCTACGTCCACAGAGCTGTAGAGGATTTGTTTCTTTGAGAAATTACACCGTCGAACGCCTCGACATTTACAAGAAGATCTCTATTTTCTTCTCTCACTTCCTCTCTCTCTCTTTTTTCCTCTCTTTCTCTTAGCTCTCAAGAGGACTTGACTTGGCCTTGCTTGGCTTGAAATTGGCTTGACATTCCTTTAAACCAAAATAGACTATTTATAGAAACCATGAGAGCGGTGGGTGGGAGGTAGGTGGGATGTGGTAGGTGAGCTGTAGGTGGGTGTGGTGGGTGAGCGGTAGGTGTGATACTTAATTAAGAAGCTAATTAAATTTGATAGACCGGGTCTCCACATTACCCAACACACGGAGTTGTAGAGGATTTAATTACTTTAAGAATTGTACCGTCGGGCCCCTTGATATTTACAAGAAAGATCTCTCCATTCCTCTCTCTCCTTTCTCTCTCCACCAAAGCCAAGGAAAGAACAAATTAACAAAAGAAACTTGTTTCCAAACAAGTTTCTTTTCTTGCCTGAAAAACGGAAGGGAAGAAAGACAAGTATGCATCTTTTCCTTGTCCTTTTCCCTTGCACACATCAGCCAAAGAGTTGTCTCAGATTAGGCTTTTCCAAGGTGATTTATAACAAAGAAAAAGTCTAATTGAGGAAATGGCTTAAGAATTAGCCATTGTTGTCTAATTACAGATAACTAGGAGGGAGGAAATGACTAATTACGTCCAAATAATTAATTTGGACGTAATTAATTAGCTGCCAAAAATTTTAATGGACTGGCTCCATCTTCCTCAACAACTCTCCCACTTGGATACTGGGACTCTCACTGCAAAATCCAATGCTGCACCAACCTTTTCCTCAAACTTGATATCTTTTATCTCTACAACTTAAAGCCTCCGTTTTTAAACTAGAAGAACAACTGAAATTGCACACAACTTCAGTTTCTCACGAGTAACACCCTTAGTTGACATAGCAGTGTTAACGTAGCCTTGTACCTCCAAGAACTTTCCTAGGTTACTCATGTATCTGCTTCCAACTCCCACTGCATGAGTAATATCCTGCCTCTGTTGAGAGCTTTTTTCAACAAGTCAAATCTTGTACCTCTTATTGACATCAAATGTAGTCTTCACCCAGTACAACCAGTTGTTGTACAGTGCCTTCTATCTTAGTGGAAGTTCTGTCAGGTCTCACTAGCTTAAATTCTCATCTCTTAAGATTTCTTTATAGCTCTAACTCCTGTGACCAAGCCTGCAATGCCGCAGATCTGTCGTGCACTCTTTAGCTGTAGTAGCAACAGTGTTGAGTAAACCAGTTGTCATATATAGTGCACCAGTTTTCATATATAGTGCACCAGTTTTCTTACCCCGAGTCAATACTAATGCTCCTTTGGTAACCTTCTAGGTGCTATATGAGAATACTACCGAATGACCACCCTCATTGAGCTGCCAACATAAATGAGGATTTTTCTTCAACTCAGGAACGTGTCAAACCTTTTGCAAAGTCCATTTGCTTTAACTAAGGAGTGCAATATCAATATCTCCCATCACCACTACGTCCAGAGTTTTTCCATCAGTCAGATTTACCTTTCCAAAGTCACCTGAAACATAGTTTCGCATCAACTCCCGGTGGGAAGATGTACAGAAGGAAGCTCCTGAATCCAGTATCCAATCATCAACATAACCATGAACTGTCAGCAATAACTCATTCTATATTTATTTAGTTACAACATTAACGCCATCCTTCTCCTTCTTCTTAGGATTCCTGTAATTTCTTTTTAAGTGGCCAGCCTTGCCACAATTCTAGCAAGTTATCTATTGACCAGACTTTGATTTTGATCTTCCTCTGTTTGAGTTCCTGTCTTGCGATCTCCCTCCAGAATCAACAATAAGTGCCGAACTCGAGGTCTTGCCAGAATCTTTCTTGCACATCTCCTCAGCCAAAATCAAATCACGAATATCATCATATTTCATTTTAGATTTAACTGTGGAACTGTTAACTGTCATCCTCATGACACCTCCTCAACCAAAATTAAAATACAAATATCATCATATTTCAGTTTAGATTTAACTACAGAACTGCTAACTGTCATCCTCATGGCTTTCCAGCTATTTGACAATGAAACCAACAATATCAACGCGTGTATCTCATCATCAAAATCAATTTCAATAGACGACAATTGATTTGTGATAGTATTGAAATCATTCAAGTGTAGAGCAACAAACACATCTTTCACCATCTTCAAGTTGAATAACTTTTTCATCAGGTGCACCTTGTTATTCGTCGATGGATTTTCATACATACTCGAGAAAGCCATAATGAAATTTGTAGTAGCCCTTTCCTTGATAATGTTATGGGCAACATATATTGACATGATTAATCGAATAACCCCCAGAACCTGTCAATCCAATAGATTTCATTCCTCCCCATCCATCTTTTTTGGCTTCTTTCCCAATAACGGAAGAAGAAGTTTCTTCCCAAAGAGGTATGTTGGTATCGAATTAATTTTGTAGCAAATGAAAGAAATTTTTGGGTCTTCTATGTTGTTTGAGATTTAATATGCATAAGAAAAACCCAACAAAATCAGGAAAAGTCATTAACAAAAGTAATGTAATAAATATAACAACGATAAGATGTGATTGGGGACAGACCCTGTACATCACTATAAATGAGTTCTAATAATTTTTACTGTTTTATATATGATACTGTCGGCACAAAACTTTGAGAGTTGTTAAGTTATCGGCTGCTAGGATGGATATTCAAACACCTATTTTATTTTAATTTAATACATATAAAATTTAGAAAAAATAATATTTTGAATTTTTGAAAATACAAGAACGAACCAATCTCATATCCTCAGTAGTTTAAATAAACGAGTCTAATACCACAAGTAGTGCACCTATCCTGAGGGATAAATACATTATTTATTGGCGAAAACTCGATTAAATGACTAAAATAAGAAATATATGACATCCGTTTGGTCTACGAAACCATTTTATTATAAGCCGACCAGTTCCCCTATTTAATATGAAAAATTAAATAGGGTTTATATTAAGTTAGGTTTGAAAAAGTTTCCTATAAAGACAAGCCCTTATAATTAATTACATCTTAGATAACCGAAGTCACCTAAGAAAAACTCTCGATAAAAATCAGGGGATATTATCTTCAGAGAGGTCAAAGGATTCTGACTTTTAAGCGAGATCAGACAAAGAGGTGTGAAAGAAGAATGACTCAAGTTTGGAACATTTTATTTTGGAATCCAATGGGGAGGAACTAGGGGATGTCATAGATCCGGAGGAGAACCTCAGTGACTTCCCAAGCTATCCTATAGTTTGACTTCAATTTAGAGAAAAAATATTTAAATATTTCATCCTATCAATTTTATTAATTAGGGCTTCTATTCGTGTGAAACGACCACACAAATAACCTAAAAGATGTGAGGATTTATGTTGTGACAGTGTGAGGATTTATTTTGTGCCAGACGACAACCTCAGAATCCTAAAGCAGGCTAGGGCTTAAATTGTAAAACAACGCTACACAAAGGCCTAAAGATAAATTGAGGATTTATGTTTGCATAAGCAAATAACCTCGTGTTCCTATGAACTTTTTGTTTAATTCTAAAAAATGGTTTAGTTGGTGAAGACATGTTTTGTTGTTAAAGATGGTCGTGCTGCCACGATGCTAGCTCCAAGCTCTTCGTTGTGGCGCGTTTAAGTTTTTCAATGTGTCAAGTTATGATGTCAAATCAAATGTCCCTATGGTTATGATTCGTTAAATATTTTGGGGGGTATTAAGGTTGATTAGAGCGACACTGGTTCCCTCGTTCTGACACCACTATTTTCTTTCAGATTCACTTAATTCATGTGAAAAATCTCATTAGCAACCATAGGTTACCTCCTCCGAGGGATTCCCAATAATCTGATAGAGACATCTTAATTTAATTATAGTTGTGATTTTGTGATGTTTGTGATTAAATTTTGAGTTGTTTTATATTTTGAATGTTGTGACAATGAATTTTATCTTGGCTAATTTTAGTTTTGGTTTCAATTTTGTGACTATCCTAAATGTTTCAGTTTTGGCATGCAGGGTGACATCGTTATTTAGCATGCAAATTTATAAGTAAAAAGTGCAGTGAGGAAAAATACAGGAAAGAAAAGTACTGTAAACTGTAAAAGTGTACCTGTCGAGTCTTCTCGTTCCTCCATCTGAAAGTTTAGTACTTGCAAGACATATATATAATTTTGCAAAAATTAAAACATGTTTATAAAGATAGTAGAAAATACAAGTTTGAGGTGTGCCTACCAGATTCTATATCATATCTTGGTGGTTCCAAATTTTGAGGATGACTTCATTAATCAAATCATAATAAGTTCAGATGTCCTTCAAGATTTCCAAACGATTATGCATTATAATAAGTTCAGACGTCCTTCAAGATTTCCAAAGGATCATGAAGGAGTCCCTGAAATTATCTTAAGTTCGTTTTGGTCTTATTATATTTATTATATATGATTTTAAAGAATGAACTTGTAGTGTTTTGAAAAGTTCTAAATTAATTATAAATTATTTTCTGAACTTTATTAGACAACATTTTGATTAAGCCTATTTCACTAATAAGCCCTTAAGATTTAATGAGTAGATTTACAATTTCAAGAAAAAAGATTTTTTCAATATTTACATTTATACTCTTAATCATTATCATGAATTATAAATCATCTCAAAACCATTAGTTGAGGCTTAAAATTAGTGAGTTATGATCTTCCAAAATCAAACCCTTACCTTAATATCTCCTTATTTAAATATTCTTCCAAACTTCATTAATTTTGAAAAATTACACATTTTTCCTTTATAATATCAAAGTGAGATTGATTACTACCATTTATCCCTTTTATATTCCAATCATTAAAACATATCAATTAAGATTATTTATTGCCCATTTAGCCCTTTGGTTAAGCCTAAATATTAATTAAGCCTTAAATTCCAAAATAACCCTTTTGCCCATAAGGCCTTAATACCCTATAATTCATTAAATCAGAATCAAATGAATTGAAAATTTTATGTTACCTCACTTATGTGTTAATTAAAACATCAGAGGAAAAAATGTGGATTTTTTGAATTTATTTAATTTTTATAATTATTTTTAATGCAAAAATAGAGATTTTTAATGAAAATCCAATAATAAAATTCAATAACTCAACTAAAATAAAACATCTATCCTTAAGAAAGTTATTCAAGGTTGACCTAGATCAGAGGATCAATTGGACCAATTTTCATGATTTTTAGAGATTTAATTTACTTATTAGAATTATTTGTTAGTTTTGATCATTAATATTAGAATTATTTATTTATTTTAATCATTAATTAAATTTGAACTATCACTTAAGTGGAAAATTATTATATTTTTATTAAATCTCTCTGAGTCTAGGGAATCCAAAGAAATAAATTTAAGTTTTTTTATTTATATTTTAATTATTGGAATTATTTTAGTGATAAATTAAAGAAAATTCATTTTTAAGCTTTTAAAATTAATATTTTGACTTAGAGGATTAGGAAAGTTATTTTAATTTGTCCCAAGTGATAAGGAATACAAATGTAATATTTTAGAGTGTTTTTATAATTATGCAATTTTTATGTTTTTTAATTAATTTTTAAATATTTAAATGCCCAAAAATAGTTCAAAAATGAATTGTTTATTTTAATTTTGGTTTTATTTTTCTTAGATTCCTCTGGTCATAAGGAGCTCCCAAAATAAATTTAGCAATTTTTTGATTTGTATTTTAATTATTAGAATTATTTTAATAACAAAAATGTGATTTCATTTAATTAATACATTTGAGTGATCAAATTTACTCTAATTGACTTGAAATTTTTATTGAGAGCTTTGCTAACATTAAATTACAGTATGGAATAGTTTTAATGTCATTTACATTTATAATTACTCTAAATTAATTTTCTTTTCATTTTTAGGGTTGGTGACAATTAGGGTTATTTTTAATGAATTAAATCAAGTTTATATTTTTTCTAGGATCCTTTGACCACAATGAACGACCACAGTGAATTTAACAAAATAAGTTTTGTATTTTTTTGATAAGTATTTTGATTATTATGATTTTTATATCAAAACATGGGTCATTAACTTGAACATTAGATATCTCTAATTAGAAATGCCCCCTGACCTTGGAAAAATCAGGGGAGATGCCTAACAACAGAGAAATCAAAAGCCTCATGGTCCCATGCCATGATGAATTATCTATGCAAATGGAGAATGAAAATAAGGAAAACATCATTTAATTAATAAAAAAATACATGCATCAAATGGACATGAAAATATTTCCATATTGTTTTTCTCTGTTCACTGAGCAAGAAAGAGGGTATTTTTATTTTATTTTTGTGATTTTTTTACACAAAGATATGAATTTTTGAAGTTCTGGCTATTTGTTTAAATAAGAAAATCCCTATTTTCCTACTTAAGTGACGCGACACCACACAATCCTACGACGGCTCCAAAGCTCCACGCGACATGCTCCCATTCGATGCCACCACCTGAGTCAGCTGCCACGCGTCTCCTCTGTACCACTTAATCTTCTCGTCTGGCGCGATCCTGTCCGTCCATCCATTACACGAGCGATCCGACGACACTCCAGTCATCATCTCCAATGGACTAAACCTACGAGCCATCCACCTTAAAACCCTAATATCTTGAGCTACACTTGACCAAATTACTTTGGGTTTGATTCTATGGACTCTTCTAAGTGAGACAAACCTATCAATATGGCTAAGGTACCATGAAATCAAGCTTAAGTAAATGGAGAATCAAGGAAAAATGTTATACCTTGGTACAAGAGGGGAAGCCTCAATTGGATGTTTGAAGAAGCTTCGTGGAGGTCCAAAGAGCTTGAGGATGAAGCCTCTAGTCGTGGTGAATCGTCTAGACCCAAGTTCGACCAAGGTTGATTTTGGGTGTTAGTCAAAGTCCGCCATAAGGTGCTCTGGTGATGGGGATTCTATTGGGGATCTTCTTCTCTCACTTCACTGTGGGGATGATGTTGGTGCAATTAATTTGGATTTGATGGATGTTGGTGAGTGTTATGTTTTGTCCTTGGATTTAAGCTCCAAAATTGAGCTCGAGCGGTGGATTTGAGTGGCTAAGGGTGGTTGGGTTAAACTCAAGAGATCCCAAGAAAGCTCTGGAAGCAATTTGACAGAGTCTCCCCAAGGAATTTCAAGTTTTCCTTCTTTGGCCATGGAGGGTGGGTTTAAATAGAGGGGGAAGGAGAGGCCACCAGAGGCAATTGGTGGGTGCCCTTGCTTATGTGGATGCCAGCAAGGTGCAAAAATCCAATTGGAATGAGACAACTTGGATGGGTTTAATTTTGAGTTTTAGCCATGGGGAGCACTTGGGGTGGCTTTTCTGGTAGCTAAGGTGGCCGGCCGGCCATGGAGAGGTCACCATCTCACTGAGGAAGGCTAGGGCTTGGGGTTGGTGAAGTCAATTGGGGTTGGTCATGTGTAAAGGTGTTGAATTAAAATAGGATGTGGGAAGGGCTTTTTTGTGTCAAATTGGGTTAAGTAATGGATTTGGGTTGGGTTCACCCACCAAGGCTGGCTTGGATGCTGAGGGAAATCAGATGGTTCAGCTTAATCATTGGTAAGGTCCCTATCCAAGTGATTTGGGTTAAGAATGGGGTTTAGGTGATTCACGGGAGGGGTTAAAGAATCTATTAAGGGTATTTAAAAGTGGTTTGTCCCCATGCCATTAATAGCATGGTGATGTGGCATGGCTCTCATGGCTCATCTATGGCTTGGGAGTGGCTTCATGGCTTCCCTTTGGCTTGGTCAACTATCATGAGGAGGGATTTTGGATTTATTTGGTAATTTTGGTGAAGTTTGGCATGATGCTTAATATAGAACAATTTGATTATGAATTTGAGACTTAGGGGATGATTTTGATTAAATGAATGGTGGGGATAAAATTTGTCATGTGGGCGTTTGGATTTGGGCCTTTTTGGAATGACTTAAGGATTTGGGCTTTTTAAAATTGAAATTGAACTTGGAATAAAATTTTGGGCTAATTGAATGTTGAATTTGATGTAGGGGGATATCATTAAATATTTGAAAAAATTTCAAGTGATTTTGAATTGAATTGGTGTGCTAATTTGATGGATTTAGACATATGGTTAAAATTGGGGTTTTTTGATTTGGGTAAAATTGGGCTTGCAATTGGATCAAATTGGGCTTGAGTTTTATTTATATTAGGATTGGGGATGCTGAATTTTTATTTGTAATTGAAATTGGGCAAGAGTGGAGCCAACTGGGCTAAAATTGGGGTTAATTTGGAGGCATTTGGGCCTTTAAGGGCAAATTGATGGTTTTGTTTAAATTGGATTAATTTGGTCAAATTGATGATGAAAAATTGAAATTGGGAATATTTGGGATGATTTTGGATTTTTTGGGATTTTTTGAGTCATGAGGGGCATTTTGGTAATTTTGGGGGTATTTTAGGAATTTGATGATTTTGGTGGATTTTGGTCAATTTAGGTAGTGGTGAGTGATTTGAGATGATTTTGGGCAGATTTGCATATTTTGGGTAATCTTGGGATTTTTGGCAAAAATTAGGGTTGTAGGGGTATTTTGGTAATTTGGTGATTTTGGGCTAGACTGGGCAAGTACGTCATGAAGCCATGCCAAACCAATATGAGTCATGTGAGGATTTATTTTGGATGCACAATATGCTGGTTCTAACCCTCCTAGTTCAAAGACTAGGGGTATAAGTTCATTCATATGAGTTCTCCAAAGGAGTCAGGAGACCAACGTAAGGGGTCATATGGCTTGAGCTAAGTGAAAAAATGTAGTGTGTGCAAGTTAGCCCCACCAAAACCAGATCACCCAAGGTTAATCCTAAGGTCTGACCATCCTATGGGAGACTCTCCTTGAGCTCCTCCATACTGACCCCACCTACTAAGTGCTAGAGGTCAGGACCAACATGTGAAATTTCAAGTTGAGTAAAGAAGAGTTTAGAATTTCTAGTGGTGAGGGTTCCTTTTCTAGTCCTCTAGGAATAGTCAACAGGAAATTCCTAAGGCTAGACCCTAGACTACTAAATTGGAAAAAATTAGTCCTCAACCAAAAATGAGGTCAACATATATAAATTATTGTTTATCACTTTTAGTAAGATTGAAAATACTAAAAAAACTTGAGTAGAAGGTATACATAACGACTGCCGTTTGAAGATTATGGAGACGATGGTTGGGTGGGGATGACCTAACATTCTATGTCATAGCTCAGAGTAGTGTGCTTTGGAGATGTAGTTAGTAATGCTTGTCGTAGATTGGTGGAAGAGGGGATGGAGTAGAGGCCGTTAAACTTGGATCCTTGGAGAATCAATTGATGAGTCTGTGGATCAGAGATGGAAAAACTGGAGGAGTTAAATGAGACAACAATATTGTTATCTTTAGTGAGTTTATGAGTGGATAGTAAGTTGTGAGAGAGGAATGATGTATGGTGTATTTGAGATAGTTTAAGCCTATGAATAGGAGTAGGAAGGATGTCGTAACCCTTGTGTTAAATCAGAATGACTTGCTCATTGGTAACTATGACTTGTTCGACACCATAATATGGAGTTGCTGGTTGTAGTTGGTTGATGTCAGAAGTGAAGTATGTCGTCGCCCAAGAGTCTAAGATCGGAAGTGAAGTGTGTTGACGCCCCAAATTATTCTTAGCTAATGATTTTCATTTCAGCAAGGTGGATCCATCCATCCTATTATATCATCAGAACAAAATTCAAATATTCGTACTTATCTAGGTAGACAAAATTCTCATTACCGACAACATGTCAACGAAGATCTCCAAGCTGATTGATCGTATGGCTGCCAAATTCTGCTTGAAACACCTAGGTTCGATTGGATGCTTCTTGGGTATTGAGGTTAAGAAACTAGCAAGCTCATATTACCTTAGCAACGGTATGTCCTACAACTTCTTCATACAATAGGGACGTAGGATTGCACACTAATCAGCACCCTATACAAGCACATCAACCAACCTCAAAGGAATTAAATTCCAAAATACCCCTATCTTTTGCATGTGGCTGATTTAGTACTAAAGTTTCACATTTATCAAATTCAATCTCTTGACCGTACAAAATTGATATAAATGATCCTTGAAAAAACTTAGGAGCCTATTTGGGGTTATTGCCGCCTACGGTAAAGATAATTGATCAATTCTTCCAATGGAAGCAGCTTTTTTAAAAGCAAACATGGATATTATAGATATTTTCCTTTTGAAAAAGTCAGATAGCCGCCTTTTTAAGGCTACTAGATTTTAAGAAATTTGGTTATATAAGGCAACTTCTCATTGCAAAAAAAAATTCAGAAAATAGCAAGAATGCAGTCACCAAATAAAGTTGTGACTTCATTCTAAAAAGCAAAAATGCTGATAAAACCATCTTAAATATACCGTAAATTTGGTTCAATTTTATATAATCAAGGAACTAATTTAGGATCAAATTTGTATCATAATTTCTAAATGATGAGCCATTTGAATCAATTTTGTACGGTAGTCAGAATACATTGGAGACATTTTATACTTTGAGATTAGATTGGCTACATACGAATAATCAGGAACGAATTGGTATTTAACCTATAATAGCTGTTGGAAAAGGCATTTCAACTATTTCATGAACCTAGTTTTAATACTATTATTCAAACTAATGAAATAATACAAATTAAACTTTGTGATGCCAAGTATAATGAATTCTCTTTTGCTGTTATTGCCAACAAATGCCTACAACTAGAAGCTCCAAATTTGTCACATCTTCTGATAATATAGTTAAGAAAAAATGATGAATAGACTTTCTTAAGAAAAACATCTGACCTGTAACAGTTTTCCACCAGCAGTAAAAGAACGCAGCCCTAGCATGTCCTGAACAAAAAAGAAAAAGAACCATTATAGATCATCTAAAAATTTGACGTTTTACTACGTATAATAGAACAGAAGTTCAAAATAAACAGCACAAGGGAAAATTCAAAAGCACACCTTGCTTTTAAAAGAAATAAGAAATTGTGCAGCAGGGTCTCTTTTGGTTACATTTGAAAATGTATCCAGGAACCATCCGCCACCAGGTACTCTTTGTCTAGACACATGAAACCCAGTACGATCTCTAGTATGCAAAGCAATAACAAAACCATCTTTCAAAAGCTCAACACATTTTCCTTTAAGTCCACCAACTGTTTCAGGTTTCTGAGAAGATGATTCCATATTTGATTCAAAGAGGCAAATTTGCTTGCTCTTAGAATCATCTGGAGAAGCAAATCGAGAACTCTGCTCCATACCACTGATAGCAGTATCTTCTTGCTGAGAGCTATAGCTGCCTTCTACTCCAGAAAAATCATTAGATTTTTGCGGGCAACCCTGGCGAGCATGCCTCTTCTTGGCCTTCTTGCTAGACCTACTATGCCTTCTATGAGACCTTCTAGCAGTATTTTGAGACGGGCCTGAAACTTGAGACTCTTTTGACTCGTTGATCTGTAGTTTCTGGTCAGATCCAGCACAGAAATGACTTGAATCTCTCTTCTGTTCCAAATCAAAAGGCTGAGATGAATTATCTCTTACCGAGTTCTCGGCTTGGTCACCTTCAAGTGCTATCGCACTATTTTCTTCACCTTCATCAGATATATCATTATTTGGAATCAAGTTATCAAGAAAGAAGGCTTGCAACATGGTGATTGCTTTCTCCCTGATTTCCATCCAAACTTCTTCACTATAGTCAGCACTCCTAGGAAGAATTAATACATTTGGCATCTCTCTAACCTGTCACACATAATAACTGAGACTTTCTCCCAAAAAATATAGTTGAAATAACAAGTAGCCCAGACAAAACACGGCAGAAGTTATTAAAAGTTTATCCCCTAAAAAGCGCAGGAAAAATCCACCCACATACTGAACTCTGCACTAGCATACCAAGAAGTGTAAGCATCAAAGGAAAGAAGCAAACTGAAGAAGCTATGTCCTTCAGAAGGCTATTGTTCATCCAAAAAAAACTTAAAGGGTTAAGGTGCTGGACAAATTTGCAAAGAATCAATAAATAACAAACTATTGCCAAATGAACCCAAAACCATGTTAAACTCAAATTATAAGGTACTGCCTTTTTACTACATTAAACTGACTTGCGAAGTTTTAGTAAATGAACTTATAATTATTGCATTTTTTAATCACTGTATGAAGTTTTTGATATATATAAAGACATTAAAGTTAATTTACATCAAATGCATAAAGTGAAATTAAGTTTAATAAGGAATTATTAAAGTGCTGTTTTTGACAATATATTTTAGCTTCAAATTTGGAAGATAAGCACAAATGATATTTGAGTAGGTGAAATCAAATGATCAGCTTTGACATTAGTAAAACACTAAGAAATATCTCCTCAACTACTATTTATAAAGCTATAAAACTCTGTAAGAGAAAATGCATAACTTTTAGGCATACGTGTGCCAAAAGTGAATACCACGAAAACACAAAGTAGTAACAAGAGATAAAACTCTATAAAAGACACCAAGATTTGCTTGATTTAGCTAAAACAAATGTATCCATTATTGAAAAACGACATAGATGTACAAAATAAAAATGGCACAACAAAAACACTCCTCTCCAAACCCAAATACACCTAAACCCATCACAAAAGAGAAGCCTCAATTCTCTAAAGCCAAACAAAAGAGAATAACTTCTGAAAAATACAAACAAATATTTAACTAAAATCATAAATTCTTCATTGGAAAGTTCCTCAATATGTAACTTTTCACGTGCCTACTGAATAATCATAATCTTTCATGCACCACCAACTTGCACCAAACCAAGATATTAATCCACAATAAAATAAAGAAAAACTTCTTTTCCTCTCTCTCTCTCTCTCTATTCCTCTCTCCTCTCCTTTCCTCTCCTTTTACTATTAATTTTTTATATATCCAACTCTAAGTCGCAGAAAAAGTTTCTAGTCATCCTCCCTCTACTATTGCTTCTCTATACTTCCAATCTAGCTCTCTAAGCAAATTCCACTCACACTAGACCGTGAGCACAAGGGGAAGCCCACTACCTATTGTATTTAATATAGGTATACGAGAATAAGGAGATGATTTAAATCTTGGTTGAGTTTAAATTTTGACTTGGAGTGACATAAAATAACAAATTCTATAACAAATTTTTAAACCCATTTTTATCCAAATAATAAAATATAACATGCAATTATCCTAAAATTACATATTTAAACTTTTTAGCTTATCCAAACAAACTCAACGAGTCAAAACTTAAGAAATGCTCCCCTTGACTCAATAATGTGGCATGATGATTCTGAATCATTTTTAATCTCATCTTCAAATTATGCCTTAATAAGTTTCCAAGGCTTCAACATCATGCTTCCTAAACAAGCTGATATGACAATCGATCAACATTTTTTGTAGCCCTTGTTTTATTGCTTTGAATCTCCTAAGCATGCTTAAGCTTGATGCAAAACCAGTCTCTGCAATGGCCAACATTTTCAACTTTACAAACTCATTTAATATTGATCTCATTAAATGATTCATAATAAAAGCTTTTATAAAATTGGTATCTCTTATAATGTCAGTTATCCAACTGCATTGCTCATGAATTGTTTCATTTTCTTCTATAGTTTTTGGAGCACATATATTCTTCAATGCTTAGTTCAACGTATGAGCAACACAAGGAGTCCGAAAAATATGAGAATATTGAGCCTCAACCAATGCTCTACAACTCTGCACAAAGGTGCATTCTTAGTGATTACATGAACCACTTTATTTGAACATATGCCCGCAATTATTTCTTTAATTTAATTGGCAATGTAGAATTTATCTTTATATGTCCATTCACAGTTAATAGCTCATATAAATATTGATCCAAATTTCATGATGCCCATGAAAGTAATGAGAGGTCTTCTTTGCGCATCTATCCAACCATCACAAACTATGGTAACTCATTTCTGACTCTAAGTCTCCTTTATGGGCTCAAGTAGTCTCTCAACACGTGCTCTCTCTTTTTGAAGTAAGGTTGTTCTTAACAATTACAACCAGGAGGAATATATCTAGGAATCGTGTTGTTAATTGCATATGAGAACGCACTAAAATAATATGGATTTCTTGTCAAATGAAATGGAAGAGCTGTAGAATAAAACATTTGAGCAATTTCTTCATGTAAATGATCTCTTGCTTGCAAATTAAATGCACTTTCTATAGCATTATTGCCCAGCATTTTTCTTTTCTTATGATTAAATAAATGTCCACTTGACTAAGAGCTATACAACTAATTAAAGCCACTTTATCTGGGGCCAGAAGAAGAAATTGGAGACTTCTTAAATGCAACATTCTTCTTTTTTTGTTCTGCATCAGTATCTAACTTTTGCATTTCTTGAATCTCTGTTGAAGTCACTTTAGGACATGCTCGAACACATACTCCAGATTGTCAGAGCAAATTTGTTCTAACCGTAGAATATGTTTCATTGAACTTTCCTTGAATAAAAAGACACTGAAATTCTACGTTGTCTCCTGCTCCAATTGATCTCAATTTCTCTAATTTGGAGACATGCCCGTAAAGGATGTTTCATTCTCAATGAGATTGTTAGAGGCATTTGTAGTAGTCATTATCCAATTAATCAATTGCAGAAAATAGAATCATTTAAACTTCACACACACAAACACACATATATATATATATATATATAGTAATTAGAATGACTCATTGATGGATTATTGCGTGATGTTGAAGAATAGGAGGACCTATGATATTTAATTGTATATTTTGAGGAGTTGGGAGCTTATTGCGGTTTGCTGAATTGCCCAAAAGGTATAGTCTCCAAATTAGGTATGGGTTGTGAATTTGTGATGAGGATATAGAGAGTTATTTTGTTTGGAAGATTTACATACATAACAGTCAATTCTTATGTATTTACATATCCAACACCTAAACTTCAATTTTCACATACATATCATCTTACATATGCATGAAAAGATGTATTTCACTTTTTAAAATTAAAATGATGGTATCTTTTATATGATATGAAAGATTTTGGTGGCATACATGTAAACTGTTGGGTGATGTGGAGACCCGGTCCACCGAATTTAATTAGCTTCTTAATTAAGTATCTCACCTACCGCTCACATACCGCTCACCTACCACACCTACCACACCTACCTACCGCTCACCTACCACATCCCACCTACCGGTCACCTACCTCCCACCTACCGCTCTCATGATTTCTATAAATAGTCTCTTTTGGTTTAAAGAAAATGCAAGCCAAGCAAAGCCAAGCCAAGTCCTCTTGAGAGCTAAGAGAAATAGAGGAAGAGGGAGAGAGGAGAGAAGAAAATAGATATTTTCTGGTAAATGTTGAGGCGCTCGACGGTGTAACTCCTCGAAGAAATAAATCCTCTGCAGCTCCGTGAACGTAAGCAAATTTGCCGAACCACATAAATCCTCTAGTAAATGTTGTGTCGCTCTGGTGTTTTGCGTGCAATTTTTTCTCATTCAGTTTTTCACTTTATTGTCGTTGTTTTTCACAACAATTGGTATCAGAGCTTTGGTTCGGATCTAAAGAAGAACGATGAGCGGAGACAAAGTGATGACATCGGGGATCGAGAAGTTCAATGACATAGATTTTGCTTATTGGAGGATGCAGACAGAGAACTATCTCTATGGGAAGAAACTTCATCTTCCGTTACTGAAAAAACAACCAAAAAAGATAGACGAGGCGGAATGCAATATGTTGGATCGACAGGTTCTGGGGGTTATACGATTAACTTTTTCGAGATCGGTTGCCCACAACTTCATCAAGGAGAGGACTACTGCAGATCTCATTGTGGCTTTATCAGGAATGTATGAAAAAACATCGACGAATAACAAGGTGCAATTGATGAAAAAGTTATTCAACTTGAAGATGATGGAATGTGTCTCTGTTGCTCAACACCTGAATGATTTCAATACATTCACATCGTCTGTTGAAATTGATTTTAATGATGAGATACGTGCGCTAATATTATTGGCTTCATTGTGAAATATATGAGAAGCTATGAGGATGACTGTTAGTAGTTATGCAGGTAAATCTAAGCTAAAATATGATGATATTCATGATTTGATTTTGGTTGAGGAGGTGCGCAATAAAGATTATGGTGAGACCTCGGATTCAAGTTCAGCGCTGAATGTTGATTCTAGAGGGAGATCACATGACAAAAACTCAAACAGAGGAAGATCAAATTCAAAGTCTGGTCAGCAAGCAACCTATTGGAATTATGGCAAGACTGACAACATAAAAAAGAACTGCAGGAATTCTAAGAAGAAGGAGAATGATGGCGCTAATGTTGTAACTGAAGAAATACATGATGCATTATTGCTGACAATTCACAGTTATGTTGATGATTGGATACTGGATTCAAGGGCTTCCTTCCATACATCTTCCCACCAGGAGTTAATGCAAAATTATGTTGCAGGTAACTTTGGGAAGGTACATCTGGATGATGGAAAAGCTCTGAACGTGGTAGAGATGGAAGACGTTGAGCACTCCCTAATAAGAACAAATGAACAATGCAAAAGGTCAGACACATTCCTGAGTTGAAGAAAAACTTCATCTCTGTTGGGCAGCTCAATAAGAGTGGTCATTCAGTGATGTTCTCAGATAGCACCTGGAAGGTTACCAAATGAGCATTAATATTAGCTCGGGGTAAGAAAACTGACACACTATATATACTACAGGTTTACTCAGACGAGGACACATGAGTCAGATATGCATTATGAGGAAGCAGAATAAGGTCAATTTCCTGAAAAGTGTAGAGCCCCAAAGACAGGAAAACTGGACCTTTTACAGACAAATGGTGGAGAACCATAGAGTTATGAAGAAATCTTGCAAGATGAGAATTCGAGCAAGTGAGAGCTTTTAAAAAAGGAGGAGACGAATTCCCTATTAGGGAATCAAACTTGGGAGCTAGCAGTTCTTCCACCAAGAAAGAAGAGCTTGCACAACAAGTGGGTGTACCGGGTGAAGACTGTGCTTGGTGCCAG